CCGGCTGCCCCCTACCCCAAGAGCCCCCCACTCACAGGCCGGCCAGCCCTGAGCCAGCGCCTCTCGGGGAGGGGCCTCCCCGCCAGGATGACACAAGGCAGCGTCACAGGCTGTCCCTCCAGGACCCGGACCACGGGCGCACTGCTGGCGATCTGCGGGGGCACTGTGGGGAGAGGAGGGTGTGGGCCTCAGCAGACCACCGTGAGCAGCCACTTGGGGGGTCAAGGCCCACCCTGCGAGCTCTGCAGGGAACAGAGCATGCGTTAGGACGGGTCCCAGGTCCCCCAGGACACTGCCCAGGACGCAGAGGATGGCGGCCATGGGGGTCTCCCTGGCTGCCTGGGGAGCACCACCCCCGCCCCCACCCCGCCCCAGGACTCAGCGCCACCAGCCAACCATGTCCGGTGAGCAGGAGCCGCGTCTCCGCCTGGGCCTTCCCGAAGATGTTCCGCGCTTCGCAGGTGTACGAGGCCTCATGCTCGGGGGCTGTGCCTGAGGACGGGGGGTGGGGCTGACTGCCAGGACCCCCTCTCCCAGCTCTGGCCGCCCAACCATGGCAGCTCACACCTGCCATCCCAGCCACACCGGACGGAGGCTGGGGAGGCCGAGGGTCCAGGCCACCCGGGGTGGGGGAGCGCGGTTCCTGAGAACCCAACTCAACAGGAAAAGCAAAAAGCTGGGAATGGTGGCATGCACCTGTCAAAGTTGCAGCCACAGCGGGGGCAGAGACAGGAGGACCAAGGCCACGCCCCGAGAGCAGGAGGCCTGGCTCAGGTGACAGAGCCCGCCTGGCGAGCCCAGGTCCCTGGGATCGAACCCCAGGCCGGCCAGCGTGAGCGGGGCACGTGGTAGCCATCTTGGTGGGGCCTCTGAGAGCAAGCAGGCGGCCCCCACGCCCGCATGTGCACCCCGATGTCTTACGTTCAAAGAACAGCACCCCGGAGCGGCGCTGTCCGGTTCCCAGGGCCCGGCCATCCGCGCGACGCCAGGTGACGGTGGGGGGCGGGCGGCCGGCGGCCCGGCACGCCAGGAGGGCGCTCCTGCCCAGCTCCACTGTCACCTCCTGTGGCAGCTCCAGCAGCCGGGGCGGGTCTGCGGGGAGTCGACCAGCCTGCCTCACCACCCAGCCCCCCCGGGCACCGCCGCTGCACCCCAGACCCTGAGCACAGGCGGTGTGCTGAGCATCCAGAGGGCTCCAGCTGAGATGCCCTGCGAAGCTCCTCCAGCCACAGGAACGTGGCTGCCTGGGATTGGGGTTCACCTGGGGGTGGAGTGGGGGACCCCGGCCTCTCTGACTCCCCACCTCTACTTGATCTTTCCTGAGTCACGGGACGTTTTGGGCAGGCGGTGAGAGGAAGCGCAAGGCCCATCCACTTCCACGGCCACCCCAGAGCGAGGCCTCCAGGGACCTGGGATTCCCCCCTCCCTCCTCTACTCCATTCTTTGGCTGCTGATAGATATGTCTGGACTAAGCACGTGTAACAATGCCTCAGGGTAAACATGCCGGGTGCCCGTGGCTCCCGCCTATACCCCTAGCTTCTCTGGAGGCTGAGATCTGGAGGATTGTGATATAAAGCTAGCATGGGCAGGAAAAGTCCAGGGGATTCTGGCTGGTAACTAACCAACAAAAAAGCAAGGCTGGAGGCATGGCTCAAGTGGTAGAGCACCAGCCAAACAAACAAGCCAAGTGAGCATCTGAGGTCCTGAGTTTAAGCCTCAGTACCAGGGGGATAAAAAAAGGAATAAATGGAAGATCCTCTCTGCCCTTTGGTCCAGCCCCAATGGACTCGCGGGCCCCCTGCAGCACAGACACCACCCAGCTCAGTCTGGGGCCTGTCCACCATGGAGGTCCCTGGCCTCTTAGCACCATGGAAAAAACACCTCCTCTTGGTTCTTTTCGGAAATCCCACTCCTTCTAGATAACAACGCTGAATTTCCCTGCTGGCCACCGGGGGAGGGAAGTTCCAAGGAGCCCCGCCCCAAAGGCGGCCGTGTCCAGCACCCACAGCTGCCCTTCCTCACCCCGATACACAGCTCCCTGGCTTCTACCTACGGCAAAGCTGGGGAGCCTGGAGCCCCGGCACCCCCAAAGCAGGGCCCAAAGTGGCATACGTCCCTGGGCAGTGCCCCACGTGGGCTGGGTGCCCGAGGCAGGGTCTCCGCGTGCATTGATGATGCCACCATGAGCCTGGAGCTCAGCCCACAGCCCCACAAACCCCAGGACCAGCATCTCCCCCCTAAAAAAGGTACAAAAAGGAAGTGGAGGCGTGGCCCGGGGCAGAGTGCCTGCCTGAGTGCTGGCACTGGCTGACAAGGACAGCGCTTCCCCGGGTCCCAGCGCCACCAGGAAGGCTTGGCAGTGGGAAGCAGGCACGTGCCCACCCCACCCCAGCCTCTGCCAGCCGGGCCAGGGAGGCCGGCCCACAGCTGCCATCCAGATGGGCCAGAAGTCTGATTTCCCATCATCCCTGCCAGCCCGGCTCACCACAGGCCACGGCTGCCACCACCTCCTCTCTCTGACGCGAGGGAAGGTTCCAGAGCCAACCGCAATCCACAAAGGAGCAGGGCCAATGGGCACATCGGGCTGAGCCCCCAAAGAAACAAAGGCTCAGTGGAGGAGAAATCAGGCCCGGAGCAGAGGCCGGCTTGGCTTCCCCAGAACCTTCTACCCCAAAATCCCTGACAATGGCTTCAGGCCGCAGACCATCCTCCTGTCTCTCCCTCAAGCAGCAGAGACATTTCTGCCCACAAGGAGGCCAGAGGGGTGGAGGGGAAGCGAGTTCCCGCTCATCCCGCTCATCATCCCGCTCGGAACCTCAGCGGTGTGACTTTGGGAGAGCCACTCCACCTCTCTGTGCCTCGTATCCCCAGCCGTACAGAAAAGAACTATGGCCCCAAGGGCTGCCAAGAGCTGTCTTGCGACCGGCTGCAGCGGAGGCACCGCCTCCTCCAGGAAGCCTTCCTGGTGCCAAGGTGGCCCGTGACCCCTGTAGACAATGGCTATGTGGGATTCATTTTTGTTTTGTTTTGTCAGTCCTGGGGCTTGAACGCAGGGCCTGGGCACTGTCCCTGAGCTTCTTTCGCTCAAGGATAGCACTCTACCATGTGAGCCACAGCTCCACTTCTGGCTTTTTCTGTGTATGTGGTGCTAAGGAATGGAACCCAGGGCTTCGTGCATGTTAGGCAAGCACTCTACCACTGAGCCACCTTCCCAGCCCCTGGCCGCGTGGGATTCTGAGACCCTGTTCCATGCTCTCGTGTGAGCAGTGGTAGGGCAGACACTGTGTCTCACCCACCACCCTGTCCCCAGGAATGAAGAAAGGATCGAATAATTGAATAAATGAGTGAGTGGGTGAGTGAATGAAGTCCAGGGTACCCCAAGCCTGCGAGGATTCCAGCCCTGAGACAGCCCCCTCTCTGTCAGGGCTAGACCCCACAGACTCAGCTGAAACCAGCCAGGACCTAGCCCCATTCTGGATTGATTCCCCTTCAATCACAGCGGCTCTGTCCCAACTCTGCGTGCCCATGGCTCCCAAGCAAGTCCCAGTGCCCAGAACCCAGGCCTGGCGGTCGGGCCTCCAGGGATCACAGCGCAGGCCGGGCGCCAGCTGCACAGAGGCCCAGCGTCCCAGTCTGAGCTGGCTACTCAGCCGGCCAGGCCGCATGCTAGTGACCCGGCCTGAGGTCGGCTGTGAGGACTGTTGGGTTGGTCTGTCTGTCATCTGACTGTCTGTTCTCTGGCTGTACATTAGTCTGGAAAAACCCACACGTTCACTGCCAACAGCTACGTGAGTGACCCCCGGGTGGACGATTAAACCAGACCACCCTGGAGAAGACGAGATGGCAGCCCTGACCATGGTGTAGACGGCAGACCCCATGCCAGAACCGCCCGCCACGCCACACCAGGCTGTGTGGCCATGAATGCTTACTGTGAGCCGGTTGGCCCCCCACCTGGGCTCCGCCCCTCCCACCCTGGAGCCCAGGCAGAAGGGCGGGGCAGGGCGGGGCCAGGCTGGGCGGGGCCTGGTGCACTCACATCCAACCTCCAGCTGGATCTGAGCAGAGGCGTTGCCCAGCTCGTTGACTGCTCGGCAGGTGTAGATGCCCACGTCCCGCTCCTGGGCCGCTGGGATCCGCAGGGTTCCCGGGCTGGAGCCCTCAGGCGCCAGAATCATCTCCAGAGCCCCTGCAGGGGAAGGGTACAGGGTACAGAGCTGGCCCAGGCGGACGTCCGGCCTCCACAGACACGTGGATCAAGCAAACCAGCTTCACCTACACCATGGAACTCTGCTCTCCCCCAGGAAGTGAGAGGACATCGACTGCAAAGAAACGCGTGGGCCCGGAGAAAATGACGTCAAGAGAAGTCAGGGGTCTGGAGATGTGGCTCAGTGGTAGTGCTTGCCTAGCATGCATGAAGCCCTGGGTTCGATTCCTCAGTACCACATACACAGAAAAAGCCAGAAGTGGTGCTGTGGCTCAAGTGGTAGAGCGCTAGCCTTGAGCAAAAGAAACCCAGGCCCTGGGTTCAAGCCCCAGGACTGGCCAGAGAGAAAAAGGCAGGGGACGGGGGAGAGGGTATGTCAAGCCCAGAGAGACCAATTACATGTGTTTTCTCTCCTGGGTAGACGCTAGTACTAATTTACAGATGTACATGTAAACGCATCCAGGCTTGAATGCAAGTGTACACACATGTATTAACTGGAGCATGGTATTTGCTGGGGAGAATTCAAGTGGTGCAATTCCCTAGAAAAACTCACTGTCCAACAAAATGAACACCAGGAAGGAAATTGAGAAGTGCAGGAGAAGGGGAGGGGTCAAGGGGAGAGGCACGCGAGCGAAGAGAGGAGGTATGGAGTATACGATCATAATGTTCAATGCACATGCAATGAAATTTCTTTTTTGGTTGGTTGTGGGGCTTGAACTCTGGGCCTGGGCGCTGTCTCTCAGCTTTTCAGCTCAAGGCGAGCGCTCTAACGCTTGAGCCACAGCGCCACTTCCAGTCTTCTAGTGGTTTATTGGAAATAAGAGTCTCAGGGACTTTCCTGCCTGGGCTGGCTTTGAACTGTGATCCTCAGATCTCAGCCTCCTGAGTAGCTAGGATTCCAGACGTGAGCCACCGACGCCCAGCTGCAATGGAATTGAACTCTGGGCCTGGGCGCTGTCCCTCAGCTCTTCACCTCAAGCTAGCGCTCTACCACTTGAGCCACAGTGCCACTTCTGGCTTTTTTTTTTATCAAACCCAGGGCCTCAGGCATACAAGGCAAGCACTCTACCACTGAGCCACCTTCCCAGCCCTGCAATGGAATTTTTTAAATTGAGGGGAGGGTGGGGAGGGGAGGAGACCAGCAGAAGGGGTGACGTAGACTGAAATGTAGAAACCGATTTGTTGAGCGGCAACTCCTTTATACAACGAATTAAAGTTAATACAAATATAATTTAAAAAATAGTGGCTCCCAGCTGGGGGCCAGTGGCTCACGCCTGTCATCCCAGCTACTCAGGAGGCTGAGATTTGAGGATCACAGTTTGAAGCCAGCCAGGGCAAGAAAGTCCATGAGACTTTTATCTCCCATGAACCATCAGAAAATCACAAGTGGAGCTGTGGCCCTAAGTGGTAGAGCGCTCGCCTTGAGCAAAAGAACGCAGGGTCAGCGCCCAGGTCCTGAGTTCAAGTCCCATAGCTGACAAAAAAAAAAAGTGGCTTTGGGCAGGTAGAGCAGCCGACACAGAGCCAGGAGTTGGACCGCTGGAACATCTGAGCCGGGGAGGGGGGGAGAAGGGGGAGAGAGAGAGGGAGGGAAAGAGACCATTAGTGCTATATCAGAAGTTTAAAGATAGCATACAAATACATATTTACATAATAGAAAGGGACAGAGCCCAGGCCCAGAGTTCAAGCCCTAGGACTAGCAAAAAAAAAAAAAAATTAAATTAAAAAGGGGGAGAGAAGGGGGGGAGAAGGGGGGGAGAAGGGGGGGCTGTGACCGGATCCCAGATGGACGGAGGTCACAGGTGGGGTGGGGCTGGGTGGGACTGACTGAGGAGCCCTGCGGTGGGCACCGAGCCCGAGGGCCAGGCTTGCTCTAACCCCACACAGAACCAGGCAGTCCCAGGGGGACCCCCCCATAGCGTACCTCGATACCAGAATACCCGGGGCGGGGGGACCCCAGACACTGCGCACGCCAGCACAGCCTCTTCGCCCACAGCAGCCAGCACCACAGCGTGCACCGCAGAGGCGGACGGCGGGTCTGCATGGGAGGACATGGGTGTGACACCCCACAGGCCCGCCCTGTCCCACCCTGCCCCCTGCCTGCCCAAGCAGCTGGCCCTCATGCCTACCCCAGGACTCTTGCCTGGCCTCTGTTCCTGCCCCTCCCATGGCTGGCCCCTCACCTCCCCTGCACGCCCTGCTCTGGGCTCCTCTGCCTTGGCGAGCACCTTGGTTACCTGTCTGAGGGGTTGTGTCTCCCCACCAGCATATAAGTCCCCTGGACAGGGTCTACATGCTCATTCTTGAGACCCCAGGACCTGGCTCACCACAGGTGCCCAGTGTTTGGGGGAGCGGTGGGAAGGGGGGAGGCCGCCCCCGCAGCCCCCGTACCTGTGTAGTAGAGGGTAACCGTCTCCTCGTCTGTGCCAACTTCATTCGTGGCCCGGCAGCTGTAATTCCCAGCATCCTCCGGGGTTAAGTCCCGAATGAGCAGAGTCCCCTGGGCGTCCACGTGGATTCTGGAGTTGGGCCACAGAATGTGTGAGGTCCGCGAGGGTGGCGCCTCCGGCTCGTCTACAAACCCACCGCCTCCCCTCGGACCGCCATCAGTCTGCGCGGCCCTGGGCCCGGCGGGAGCCAGGCGCTTCACTCATCTTCTTGAATTCAAGAGGTTCAGGGACATAAAGCAACTTGCCCCAGGTCACACGGCCCAAACCTCCCAGGCTGGACCCAGAGCCTGAGCTCTGGGTGGCCGGGGCCACACCGGGGCTTCAGTGCACGTCACAGGACTATCCCCCTACCCTCCTCAGACCCCATTCCAGAGGGCTGTCCCTGACTCTCCCCAGGCCCCAGGAGGCAGACAGGGCAGGAGCAGCTCCCCACACAGCATCCCGCCCCCTCCGCCGCCAGCCTGGGCTCTGTAGCAGCCTCACCCTCACCTGCTGCCTTCCTGCAGGGCGAGGCCCTCCCGGCTCCAGGAGATGTGGGGGGCAGGGAGCCCCGAGGCTGAGCAGCTGACCTTCACCTCCACACCCTGAGAGAAGCTCTGGGACCTGCTGTCGATGCTGACCGTCGGGGCCTCTGCAGCCCAAGGGTGGCGGGGAGGAGCCGTCAGGGGTGGCCTGGGCCCCCACAGTGCCCCAGAGGGAGGCCTCGAGGGCTAGGACCCCACAGGAGCGTCCCCAGAAACTGGGGACACTGGCCCCCCAGACCACACACACCACACACTCTCATATGCATACATGCGCCCCCATATACACACCACACACACACCACACACACACACACCACACACATGCACGTTTATATACACGCACACATATATACACACCATACACATGCACACGCACATACACACCACACAGCATGCACACACACACACGTGCATGTTCACATACACTGCACACACATGCACACTGGCCCCCTCCAGCCTGGGAACTGCAGAGCCCTGCTCGGGGCTGAGCACAGGGGAGGCTTCAGGGCCTCCGCTCTCAGAGCTAGGGACTGTCTCATCTCCAGTGACCTCCCAGGACTGTCCTGGCATTGTCCCTGAACTTAAGGTTCCATTTGTGCATCTGTGCTGCCTACAAGGCTCACAAGCCCCTCCCATGCCTGGCAGGCATCACTAATGGATCCTCTCCTGCAGAGCTCCTGTGCCCTGGCAGGCATCACTAATGGATCCCCTCCCACAGAGCCTAGGCAGACCCTCTGCATCCTGCCTAGTCAACCAAGTGCCACACACACAAGAAAAGGGGTCCATCGAAGTCCTGGGGGACCTAGGCCTCACCCAGGCCTTGGAAGTCCCGGACAGGTATACTTTCCTCTGCCTCCTCCACACAATCTGTGCCCTACACATCTGAGTTCTGAGCATTCTGTCCCTGCCCTGTGTACTTACCAGCTAAGAGCTACATATGGAGTAGAAGGTGGATTAGGGAAGGAGGGGCCCAGTGACATGGGAATAAAACAAGCAACAGGGAAACTGGCCTGGTCTGTAGCAGTAGACACTTAGGTTAGATACTAGCATGAACTTCTCAACAAGGAGAACTGTTAAGCTGACTTTTGCAGGACCCTCTTTCCCTGAGATCTGAGCCACAGGTTGGGGTCCCGGGCTTCCTGTTGAATGGGAGTAGAAGCAGGGGCAGTAGGGGTAGGAAGAGCCTCACCTCGCACCAGGAGCCAGGTGGATGCCCTCGAGGCCCCGTTGGCGTTGCTGGCCACACACTGGTACTGGCCACCATCACTGGGGACGACACCCCTGACCTCCAGGGACTGGTCCGCCAGCCGGGAGACCCGGCCCTCGGAGACCGGCAGGACTTGCCAGTCGCGGACCCACGTGAGGTTGTAGGGGTCGTCACTCAGGACGTGGCAGGCCAGGAGGGCCGTCTCCCCGGGGGACACGGTCACGTTGGCACCAGGGAGCAGCTGCGGTGGGGGGTCTGCGGGGACAGAGCGTGCGAGAGCAGCTGTGGGCGCAGCTGGCAGTGCACGCGTGCACATCTGCTCTCCACCAGGCTGCCCAGCCGCAGGGGTCCCCACACCCCCACCCCCCACATAAACCACAGCCAGCCGCAGCGTGAGAAAGCCCTACAGGGCTCTTCACACCTCCGGAGCCAATGACCTCACCCCAGGGAATACAGAAAGCTCCAGAACAGTTGGCAGCACACGAAACTCCTCCATGCCCTCACTGCCAATGTAGAAATGAGACCTCGGCCCGAGGGCGGGAGGAGCCAGGGCCTCGGTGTCTGCACAGCAGAGGCAGGGACACAAGCTGACACCAGGTCTACAGGCCCCAGGGACTGAGCCACGCCCAGCAGGCGGTGTCAGAGCACGTGGAGGAGTGAGACCACAGAGCTGAGTGTGTGGCTCACACCTGTAATCCCAGCCTCTCAGAGAAGCCAGGCTCACGCCTGTCATGCTAGCTGCTCAGGAGGCTGAGGTCTGAGGATCACGGTTCAAAGCCAGCCCGGGCAGGAAAGTCCAGGAGACTCTTATCTCCAATAACTACTAGAAAACCGGAAGTGGCGCTGTGGCTCAAGCGGTAGAGCGCTCACCTTGAGATGAAGAGCTGAGGGGCAGAGCTCAGGCCCAGAGTTCAAGCCCCACGACTGACCAAAAAAAAAAACAGGAAAAAGCCAGAGTGGTGCTGTGGCTCATGTGGTAGAGCACTAGCATCGAGCAAAAAGCCAAGCAAGAGAGTGAATTCAAGCCCAATACTAGCATGCATACACACACACACACACAGTATAGAAGCGATGATTCCACTTTGGTTAAAATGCTCACATAGAGAAAAGACCTTCAAGGAAGTTAATCATCAAATCATCAAAACACTAGGTCAGAGGGACTGCAGATGGCTTTGATCTGTTTTGTTCTTTTTTTTTTTTTTTGGTCAGTTATGGGGCCTGAACTCTGGGCCTGGGCGCTGTCCCTCAGCTCTTCAGCTCAAGAGTGCTCTACCACTTGAGCCACAGCACCAGTTCTGGCTTTTTCTGTGTATGTGGTGCTGAGGAATTGAACCCAGGGCCTCATGCATGCCAGGCAAGCGCTCTTCCACTGAGCCGCCTTCCCAGCCCTTTTTGCTCCTTTCTTTCTCCGTTCTTCCTGCCACGCACTCGCAGCTCTTTAGAACTCATTTTTTGTCCTTTCCTTTCCTGCCAGGCAGCTTAGGTTTGTGACTTTTATTTATTTATTGGTCAGTCATGGGACCTGAACTCTGGGCCTGGGCGCTGTCCCTCAGCTCATCAGCTCAAGGCGAGCGCTCTACCACATGGCCACAGCGCCACTTCCAGTTTTCTGGTGGTTCATTGGAGATAAGAGTCTCATGGAAGCCGGGCGCCGGTGGCTCACGCCTGTCATCCTAGCTACTCAGGAGGCTGAGGTCTGAGGATCACGGTTCAAAGCCAGCCAGGGCAGGAAAGTCCAGGAGACTCTTATCTCCAATAAACCACTTGAAAACCAGAAGTGGCGCTGTGGCTCAAGCGTTAGAGCGCTCGCCTTGAGCTGAAGAGCTGAGGACAGCACCCAGGCCCAGAGTTCAAGCCCCATGACCCACCAAAAAAATAAAAATAAAAAAGAGTCTCATGGACTTTCCTGGCTGGGCTGGCTTTGAACTACAATCCTCAGATCTCAGCCTCCTGAGTAGCTAGGATGACAGGTGTGAGCACCGGTGCCCGGCCAGGTGCCGATTTCATTTTTGAGGCCCTCTTTGGAGCCCGGCAGGGTAATGCAGATGCTTGAAGGACCAGACAGTCGGGGTGGCCTGAGGGCTGGGCAGGGGACAGGAGACCCACGCTGGGGTTTCCAGCCTTTGTCTAACTGGCACCTCGGCCTGTTGCTGGACGAAACAGCCCTAAGTGGGGTGGGAAGGCAGAGGGCCTAGGTGAGGGACGGCCGCAGCTGGGGCGGGGCCCGAAGCTCTGAGGGCGGGTGGGCGGCGCGGGGCAGGCGTACGGACCTGTGATGACCACCTGGGTCTGTGCGCGGCCAGTCCCCGCCTGGCTGACGGCCGTGCACTGGTACAGGCCCTCCTCCGCCTTGGAGGCCCTCGGGATCTCCCAGCTGCTGTTTCCCGAGGCCCTGGGAAGAACAGGCATTAGAGACAGAGGTGACGGGCGCTCGCCAGGATGTCTGAGGGGCCGCCGGCCTCATTCCCGCTCTAAAGGGAGACGTTCGGTGACCTGAGAGGGCTCTCCAGCCTCCTGCACCCCAAATGTTCTGACCCTAGAGCGGGGTCCCTGTGGGGTGACAGCCCCCTGGGGAGGCTCAGGACACTCACTGTTCCCCACTCCTGGCCAGGCTGCGGTCCCCAGCTGGCACCCCAGGAACACACCCGCGACCAAGGCCGAGGCCTCCCTCCTGTCCTCCCCCCCCCCCCAGGGCCACTCACGGCAGCAGTCGCTCCTCGCCCAGCCTGGCGCCATCCCGCCACAGCTGCAGCCGGAAGGGGAGGGCGCTGTGCACTGTGCAGGACACCAGCAGGGGCTGCCGCAGGTAGCCGTGGATCCTGGGGGGCATGCTCACCAGGGGGGTACCTGTGGGTGAGAACGAGGTTCGGAGCCCCTCCCTGCCGCCCCAGGGCCCAGCCTCCAACCCAGCGATGGTCAGGGACGGCCGGAGCTCGAGGCCAGCCAGGCCCCTGCTGGCTCTAAGCCTCCCACCACCCTGGTGAACCAGGGCGCCGTGCTGCTCTGAGGAGCACGTGGAGACTGTGCACGTGGCACTCGTGGCTTACGGGTAGGCTATGTAACACCAGACAGGCCGGGAGGGAGGGACCGCCCCCACTCCCATTATTGTCTGTAACCAGTCAGTTCTGAAATCTGAAGAAGGGGTCCCCAGGGGTCTGGGTGACTCTGCCTCTCCTTTGCCTGGATGGTTCGTGAAGCCTTTCCATATGTGTATATAATGCCAAGCACTAGCAGCTTATGCCTGGAATCGTAGCTACTCAGAAGGCGGAGATCTGAGGCTCACGGTTCAAAGCTAGCCCCCCATAGGAAAGTCCATGAGATTCTTATCTTCCAATAAACCACCAGAGAGGCCAAAGTAGAGGCATGAGCAGAGCGTCAGCCTTGAGTAAAAACAAAGCCAAGCAACAGGGCCAGGCCTTTGCCTAGCTACAGCGGAGGCGGAGCTCTGAAGACCGAGGTTCAAAGCCAGCCTGGGCAAAGAAGTCTGGGGAGACTCAGCTCCAATTAAGCTGTGTGCCACGTGGCTCAAGTGGTCGAGCTCCAGCTGCGAGCAGGTAAGCTCAGGGACAGCATCCAGGCGCCTGCGTTCAAGCCTTAGTACTGACACAAAAATAAAAATTAACAAAAAATAGCACGATGGGAAGATGGTTGTGAACACAAAGTTCACACACATTTTTCTGAGATAAGACAAGACTTCAAGGCAGCCTCACAGCTTGTGATGGGTCCCTTGGGGCCACATTGGACACCAGCCCCTCCTGCCTGCCCTTGTCAGGGGGTGACACTCTGTTTCCCTAGCTGTTGGAATTGCTTCTGTTGGGGATGTCTGAGAAATTCCCGTCTCCCAGGTCAGCTGTGGCCCTGGGGTACGGCCAGTCCTGCCCCCCCCGTTCCCTCCCCATCCCCCCTAGAGCAGCAAGGAGCCAGTGAGATGCTCTAAGCGTGAGGCTATGTGCTGGGCCTCCACCGAGTACGAGCTGGGGCGGGCAGGGCGGTGACATCACATCGCAGGCTCCCCTGCCATGTCCCCAGGGAGAAGGCGGTTGGACTAGCCAGCCACGTCCTCAGCTGTGCTTTCCATGAGCTGGGGGACCCGGGAACCCCAGGCCTACTCCCAAACCCAGAGCCTGCCTCGGGCTCTAAGGCAAACCCCCAGCTTGGAAACCCGGCAGGGATTAAACGCTGCACTGCACCCTCCCACTCTGCTCTCATGCAGACTGGCCTAGGGCTGTGCTCCAAACCCCTGGGTGCACCAAAGGATGGAAGGAAAATGGGGAGGGGCACTCCATGGGGTGCTGAAATTCCTGAAAGTAAGATAAGAGCTTCCTGTGGGAGTTGGGGGGGGCGGTGACCTCAGGACACACCCCCAGAGCCAGCAAAAGCATCATCCAGACGGGGTCAGACGGAGAGGCTGTTTCTCCTCTGGGGATGTAAGGGTAACAGTGGCTGCCCAGCCTGGACAGCCCTGTCCACAGGACCACGGCCACTCACAGAGTCCTCAGAGCATCCCTGAGAGCTGGGGGCTGGGGGGGCTCTGTCTCCTCATCAAGACACCCCAGCACTTCCTTGAGGAGGAATCTCAGCAAAGAGCCATCCGCTTCAAAATGGGGACAAATGCATCCAAGGCTAGGAGATTTATCTCCAATCACCCAGCAAAAAAAGCCACAGTGGATGTGGTAGACAGCCAGCTATGAGTGAAAAAGCTGAACGAGAGCAAGAAACCCTTGAGTTCAAGTCCTAACACCATGGTGGGGGACAGACAGAAGGATGGATAAACATGAAAGATGGCTGACTGGCTAGATAAATAAGTGGGCAGGTGTAGAGCTCAATGGAGGGATGGACAGATAGATGGGATAGATGGACAGATGCCTAATTGGATGCATGGAGGCACGGACAGATGGATGCATGGACAGATGAATAGACAGATGCATGCATGCGTGGATGAACATACATAAAAAGCTAACTGGCTAGATGAGTAAGTGGGTGGATGGACAGATGGACAGACGCATGGGTGGATGAATGCATGGATAGATGGACAAATGAATGGGTGGATGGACAGGTGGATAGGCAGATGCATGGAGGGAGGGATGGGTAAATGGAAGGATGGATGGTAGAAGAAAGGAAGAAAAGATAAAAATGACCTTGAGCTGAGGACCTTATCTAAGTCATTTAGCATATCTTGGAAGCTTGCCAAAGACTCGTCTTCTAATCTAGCCTAAGCGAAGAAGGCCTCCAGGAAGACGTCCAGGCCTGTGCACACACATACGTGTACCAGAGAGCTGGGGACAGAGGTCACACTCACCGGAGTCTGCCCCGCTGTAGGAAACTCCGGAGACTCGGACCAGGGGGCTCCCCGTGTGGTCTTTGCCCTTCACCTTGAGGTAGAAGCGTTCCTGGGGGGCATGGAAGGAGGGCCCACCCCACAGCTGGTGGGTGGACTCATTGGACAGCAGCTGTGTGGGCAGCGTCAGGAGGGGCCGTCCTGAGCTGTGGGCCAGCTCCACGGAGTCCAAGTGGCCGGACGCCTGCAGACCCGTCGAGTTGATCAACAGGGAGATGGGCACGCCTGCGGAGGGAGGGCAAGGGACAAGCGCTGGCACTGACCAGGGTTCTGAGACTCAGCTGACCCGCCCTCCCCACACACGCCGCCTTCGCCACCCGGTGCCCTCCACTGCTGGGGGGGG